CCAGGCAAGGTTAGGAGGGGTTACTGCTGAGCCACTTGTGCTTGGGACTGCAGCTAAGACACAGGAGGCAGTCACAGCTTCAAAGCTGGTGCAGAACAGCTTCAAAACTGTGTAGAACAGGTGACATTAACTGTACAAAATTCATCACAGCTCTTGGTAGTTTTTGCCAATCACTAATCTCCACTGTGAATGATAAAATAGAAATGACTCCTTGGTTCTAAATGGACTTAACTTGGACTAGCTTTTAGCTACTCATTATCATGATGTCTCTCATCTAATTTAAACAGCCTTTTAACACCTCAGTATTCTGCATATGAAAAATCTAACAGCATCACCTCTTGGTCTCTTTTCTTGGTAAACAAAGCAGGAAAAGCTGACCCATCTCTCATCATACTACAACGTGTCCAGCTTTTGTATAGTTTTTGGAGGAACTTTTCTGCATGTTCTCTGACTTTCAAGCGTTGTTCTTTACAACCAGACACCATACATAGACAGATGAAACCTGTGTCACCAACTGAGAAGGGAAGTCTCCTCTCCATTACTATTCATTGCTGGGTTTTTTCTGTCCACAAATCCCACGAACAGTTTTTGCAAACAGCAAAAAAACCTGGGGAGTCTTCATTTTGGCACTTAGCTCCCTAGACTGCCTACAGGGTCACTGCACCCCAAGTACAGTTGCCATACTGTATGCTCATCTGTATTCCTCATGTTTTTACATTTCTTTGCATTTAGCAATGTAGTACACATTAATGACTGAAGTCAGATTCTCAGTGAGTCTAGCTCACTCTGATTAATGGCTCCATCCTTAGTGTTATTTACTTCTTCATTAATCTCTGTGTCAGCCCCAGGTTTTATTAGAAGTGATTTTGCTGGGAAAAGGCACGAGTACTGATTCTGGGAAATGCAGAGGCGTGGTCACTTTGGGCAATGTGGGGATAGGGTCTTTCAGAGGATGCCACAGAGTAGCTGGATTAGGCTCCTGCTCTCAACCTCCCGCTAGAGGACTCAATCCCTCTAGGCACTGAGCCTGGGGAAGCTCTCCCAAGGCTGACGTTTGCCTTTGTGAATGGCCTCCTGGGTATCAAGGTTATTAATGGAACTCAGGAAGAGCATGAGACCCAGTGCCGATTCCTGGAGATCTTCCTCTACCCAAAATAGAAACACACTGGCAAGTGGTCGGCTTGACCACGACCCGTTGCAGTCTGCCAGCTAACCTCTCCTAATCCATTTGATACATCCTTTATCGATCTATGGCTTTATTGTTTCTCTGAGTATCACGCTGCAAAGTCATGTGCCTTACAAACTGTTATGCCCCTGCCCAGCTTTACTGACAAAGCCAGTAATCTTGTCAGTAAAAGAGTTTGCCTGCAGGACTGATTTTCCATGAAACCGAGCTGGCCATCATTAATCATATTTCTCCCATCTAATCCTTTATCAATTGACTTTCATCTCAGCAGTTCTGTTATTATTCTGCGTGGTAGCAATGTCAGGCTAATCAGCCTATAATTATCCTGGAAATTCCCCTTGCCCTTTTGAGCACTGACAGTTCAGCACTCCTGAAATCTTGTGGCATTTCATTACTAGTCCGGAAAATGATTTACAACAGCAAGACAAAGATGTGTGCAACCACAGTTTTTAATGCTCCAGAGCAGCAACATGGCTCCCAAAGTGCTCTGCTGCACTGTTCCCAATACCTTCCAAAGCCTGCTCTTTGTATTTCTGCTATGGAAGGGCCTGGGTTTTTTTTATCTGCAAGAATGACAGTGATGTTCTAGCAGACATTTTGAGAGAATGAGCTCCTCTTTGCTCTCCTGGTGAGCCAGCTCCAGATGTGGCACCAGGTTTTCAGCAGAAGAGCAGGGGCTTTTTGGTGCAAAGCTCCCAGCCTGCTCCTATCTGCTCACATTGTCACACAGTGACCAAGACTGAGTAAAACCTGGCTGCAACTCATGCTCTGGGAAAGGAGGGGGTAGTTCCTGCAGCCTTGCAGATGCTTGTGCTGCCACAAGAGCAGGGCTGGCACCGATGCAGAAGCGAGAGACTGCAGGTGAAGGATGGGCAGTAGGACTCCAGCCGGCGGCTGTGCTGCCTGCAAGCATTCATCAAGCTATGGCCTTAATTTGCTCTTTTCCACTTGTATCTCTGAGAACCTTTTGAATTACTCCTCTGCTTCTCTTCCAGTGTAGCATCAGCCATGAATGGGTGCTAAATAAGGCGCAGGATAACAGGCCCCTGATGCATCCCAGCTCCCGCTGGCCTGACATGTTGCCTCTTCCCGCAGATTTGTGTGCCTACTTCTCTGCCTGCTGTTTCTCATTACCTGTTATTTATACTGCCCTAGCTAGTTTTCCATCCATGTAACATAAGTTCACAGCTAAGCTAATCTGTATTCAGGTTCTCAAGGCAGATTTTCAGAGACAAGAGGCAACATTAGCTTCTCCCAGAGTTCTGCAACTCCACCCGAGCCCTGCTGGACATGGCACATGGTCCTCTGATGAGACAAGAGGCTGGTGGGCTCTTGTCTTTTCTTTAGGTGGTTGCAGTCATATCTTGTAAGCTTACGCAATACTGGCTATGGATGTTTGGCCAAAATAGAACGTGGCAAGAGGGGAGCCTCTAATTGTCGCTGAGACAGAATCCAAAAATATTTTCTAACAAAACCAAACCTACATTGAATCAAACTCCTGCCTAATAAAATCTGTGTTAAAGCCACCAAATAAATTAGAAGGAACAACAAAACATCCTTGAAATAGCACCAAAAATAAGCCACTGGATATGAACACAATAACTCTGAATCCAAAAGCAATTACTTATTATCTATGCTTTGCAATATGAGTCTCATTCTAAATGAAGTGGTGCTGAGAGCTTCCACAACACTGCAAAGCTCCAGAGCTCCGCACAAATATTGTAAGTTAGTAATGTAACCTCACAAGGATGTTGAACTCAGACTAGCAAGGACTGAGAGGACTTTTCAAGGACCACATAGGAAGTCAACAGGCAACCTTTGGCTAGAAATACAGGACAAACAGTGCACCTTGCACAGTATTTTTCCCCCCAAAACTCCCAAAGGCTTGCGAACATTGAGTGATTTACCAGCTGGCGGAGGTAGTCCTGAACCGTGCTGGGGTAGACGAGTACACTGATGGCAACCAACGTGTTGAGAGCAAAGTCAAAGATCTGGTAACAGAAGAAAGGTATGATCCAAGCCGCATGTTGCTAAAAAGGAAATAAAATAAAAGTTGTCAGCCACAAGCTAAAATAGAAGGACGTATGTCTTTCTGCACTAAAATCTAAGAGGTATTTGACAGAATGCATTACATTTCATGAAGCCGTAAGAGAAAAGAGTCAGCTAAAATAAGTATGACAAACCACAGGCTTGGGAGGTGAATGGAAAAAAATTTCCTTAACTTTGGTAGGTACAAGATTCAGTTCTCTGAATTCACAGTTTGCCCACAGCTTACTCATATTTGAAACTGCCGGCAGCAAACACAACAGGGCAGTCTTCCCGCCTGCAGCACGGGGCCCTGGGTGCTATTAGTTCTGCTGCCACTTTGACTGTTTTTTTTTTTACTCTCTGTTTTCAGCTATACAACTAAACAAGAAATTGTTAAAAAGCAATTTTCTTAATTTTGTTTCTACAAAGCTGTGTAGCGCGCTTGATTCACGTCTTTACCAAACATAATTACCTTATATGCTCCATATGTAGCCATTGCACAGATCAGAATCATAAGAAGAGAAATTGCTGTGGCAATGCACATGTCTGGAAGAGAAACACATCAAAATGATTGCAGATAAATTCAGAGCTTTGTTGGGTTATTTTGCCACCTGCCTTGTGCAGAGCATCTCAAAGGCCAAGGTAGGATGTGGGGTGGGGATGGGGGGCAGGTGCATCATTCAGCCACTGCTGGAGGAAATCCCTGGCTCTTATGGGAAACCTCCTAAATATGAGAAGCGCAGATGGTGATTACACTGTGCAAGTCTCTGCAGCCTCTATGAGGCTTTAATTTTTCTGAGGGTTTTCAACAATCAGGAGGGGACCTGACTAGAAAATTATTTTGCCAGTGATGATGATATCTGTAGTCAGAAAGTGTCTGCTCTTCTGCACCACAGGTTGTTTTTTCACTGTAGCTTCTGTGTACCACTGCTCACATATCTCTAAAAGCTTTGGAAAAGACAAACTGGCAGGTAGAGGCATCTTAGAGGAGAAATAACATCTTGGAAATTTTCATTTCAAGCAAGAATAGTACAGAGATATACAGTTCATTAATGAAGACGTATAACTGCCAGGAAAGGTGAAGTAGTGAAGGAAGGAAAATATTCTTTAAGGTTTTGATTGGAGTAATTACAGTACTCCTATCTTTTTCTTCTATTGCCACTCAGCTTTAAATTAGCTTTTCATTAGATTTACAAAGTTCCTAAGCCATGAACAGCTGGAAGGAGATCCTGAGGGAAAAAATTACATATGTTTGGTCTTTTCCTATACAGCTGCCTTGATATCATTACAGGCCATAGTCAGGATACCAGGAGGGTATTTCTGAACCCAACCTTACAGTGAGTTTGGGAGTGCAACTGAACATTGTGACTGCTTTTCAAAGCTAAGGCAGAGCACAAAGTGGAGAGCGGACGTGAGGTATATGCCATGACTTTAGAGAACCCAGCCCTGCAGGTATCAGTGAGATACCTGCTGTTCACGTTGCTGTCACCAGATGCATTTACCCGCCTTTATGAGAAATTCGGTGGATGTGAGATGCACAAATACATGACAGTGTTCAGGCCATTTCACTACCCATCACTGCCTGACTTCGGAGGCATTCAAACTGTGAAGATGCCTCCATTTGATCACAGAGTTGCCACAACATCTAACTCCAGCACACGATGAGGAGCATCCTGCAGCAAGGGACAGTCCTTCCACCTCCCTGGCTGCATCAAAATCATGTTCTGGGCAGGTGCCCTGGAGCCTGCATCAAAGTCCCTGAAAGGCCCTGAGCTGGTAGCTGTGGATAGGTCTCACCTACTGCCACCAGGCAGCAGGGTAGGTTCACCTGGGTCATGGCTGAAGAGGAAGGACAGACATTAAGTCTTGCCTACCATTTTTTCCAGCCTACCAGTATGATCTTTGATGTAGAAGACAAAGGACCCAGTCCTTGATCCTCCTCCGCCTGAAGGCACACAAACCTGCACTAGCGCAGAGCTCCTGCCAGCACTAATCCAGATTTCTGCTGGCCCTTGATGCAGAGAGGAACCTGAGACCTGTGAAGCTGGTGGAAAAATGAACAAGCAGAGACTCGCTGGCTGGTGTCTGGAGAGTGCTTATGTACGCTGGGCTACAGGCTCCTTGGGTACCGTGCCTACCAGTGACAGGATTAAGGGTTTAGGAACCCAGGTCTCCCGTTTTCCAGGACACTGCCTATGTCCTGGGTTTCAGGACTCTTGCTCTCTCACTCTTGCCCCCAAATTTTGTCCTTGTGATTGCATACGGGCTCAAATGCAACAGAGTAAGTCCTATTGCAGACTACTCCCTAATTCAACGGATAGGGCCACTTTCCTGGGAACATGAAGGAGCACATCTAAACCACTGTATTCTGATGAAGACCTGGAATCCAGATGTTCTCAGTCACAGTGAAAATGCTTGAATCTTTGGCTTATTGTCAAAGCAAGCAGGTCTCACCCGGGAGAGGCACCAGCACCCAGCGCTGATGTTAGCTGCACCCCTGCTCTCACTGCTTCCTACCTGGTGGCTTTACGCAGCTCGGCTTGCGGGCGCTTGGAAATGCCATCAGGAGGCAGCTGGGCTCTCTGCTCCTAACTGAGGAGAGGATGACATCTCAGTGCATCCCAAATTGCTCTTCTTCAGAGGCACCTCCTTCACCTCTTTGACTGTACAGAGGATCCGGACATCCAGTGTAGGCGCCTGAGCTGCATTCCCATGACCGGTCCCCAGCTTTTTAGGAGCTGTAAGGCTGTGCTGTGCCTTTTAGAGCTGATCTGAATTCTGCTCTCAAGAGGAAGAAGCACCCACAAAACAAACCCATACCGATACAAGGTACTGCAGCCTCTTCAGACGCTCTTACTTGTGTGGTACTTTACTCTGGCTGCCCACATACATCCTTGTGAAATCAAAATTATTTTGAAGAGACCAGGTACAACTGAGGTAATGAAAGAAAAGAAGTGGAAATGATTGCCTGTAGCCACTAACCTCAATTGAACCTCTTATAAAAGAGAATATTGGATCAATATTTTTATTTTAACCACCAGTTTGAAGGCACTGCTCATGGATTTATTCTGCCCGTTCTTCATCCCAGTCACCTACTCACTGTATCCCAGGAGAAGCTGCTGCCATTGTCATTTGCAGCAGATGCAGCAGTCACAGGCCCCGCTTTGCTGGTGACCACGGCCGTACTGGTTCAGAGCCAGCGCCTAGCAAACGGCAATAAACTTGACATTGAAGCTCTGGCCTGACACACCCGTGCTCCCCGGCTCTGCTGGCTCTCTAGCTGTGCTCCACCGTGCCAAGTCCTAGTTGGCTCAGGCTGGTTCTTTCTCATTTAAGGCTTCATTGGGTTTTTTGAGCGGTGTCGGCTTCAGTTAATGAGAATGAAACTAGATATGCAGCACATTAAATGAGAAGCTAGCAGGGGTGTGCGCATTTTTTTCCAGCCATGCTGTACGTTCTGTGGCACTCATGGCTAGAAGGGTGGTACCTGGACTGCTGAAATGGTTACACAGCCCATGGTCCTAGACAGCTTTTAGAGTTTTCAGCTTGGTTTTAAAGAAACTGGTTGGGTTTTTTTTCCTCTTCTATCTTGCAGTGAGATCCTACCTTCCTGACAGATTGGGGAGAAGATGCTGCTGGGGCTGGGCAGAGTGCCTGCCAGGGGGTGCTTGCGTGCATGGCAAGCTCTGCAGCTGGAGCTCCCTTGAGCCCAACTCACAAGCATTTCCTCGCTTTCCCCTCTCCTCCTGCAGAGGAGGCTGGTGGCGGGTGCTGCAGGGACGGGGAGGAGCAGCCAGCAAGGCCAGTCCCTGAGCCAGGACCTGTGTGGAGTGACAGTCCTCAAATGCTCCAGTTCATCACCTGCCCCAGCCCTGGAGTTAATTGCTGGCTCCTGGCTCTGACAGCAGGGGCCAGAAAGCTACAATCCTCAGGCAGATTGCAGCTCACAATCCTCAGGCAGTTTTGCCCACCCTCCTAGCCTTACTTATCCAGCAGCCTGCCCTCCTTCCTGCCAGCTAAGGATTACTGCTTTGCTTGCTCCTCCAAGCTGCTTCTGTGAGCTCAGGGCTGCTGCTTTAAGCCGCTGTGCAGCCTCCTGGGTTGCAATCCGTGCGGTGGTGGCATATTCTCTCCAGCAAAGGAAGGAGGCTGATGAGAAGGAAAGAGCTTTTTGCACCTTTGAGCCCAGCTCATTTACTTCAGAGGATCATAGAATCATAGAACTGTTTAGGTTGGAAAGGACCTTTTAAGACCATCAAGTCCAACTGTTAACCTAACCCTGCCATCCCACCACTAAACCATATCCCTAAGCGCCTCATCTGCCCGTATTTTAAATACCTCCAGGGATGGGGACTTGACCACTCCCCTGGGCAGCCTATTCCAGTGCCTGACAACCCTTTCTGTGAAAAATTTTTTCCTAATGTCCAACCTAAACTTCCCTTGGTGCAACTTGAGGCCATTTCCCTTATCCTACTGCTTTTTACTTGGGAGAAGAGACCAACACCCACCTTGCTACAACCTCCATTGTAGAGGGCGATAAGGATAAGGCTAGAGGGGAAGAAGCTGCCCTGAATATGCTACGCTGGGGCAGTGATCTCATTTTTTACCCTCCCTGTGACATGGGGCTCATGCTATATGGGTGGTGTTGATGGATTGGGGCAGAAGGGTACATGCTCTACCCTTTACCTCCCGCAGAAGTCCAAGCCTGCTATCTGTAGGTTTTTTTACAAAAACGTTCCTATTTGAATTAGTCTTTTTTTGCCCCAGATGCATGTCACGTTCGGCAGAGAGACCATCTCATTACCCTCCCCTGCCCTGAGACCGCTGCTTGTCTCATCTGCCTGTCCCAGGGCAGGGACACAGGTTGATTCTGGCCTGAGTTGTTGACACTGGTGTCAAAGTTTGCATCCATTTCTAAAGGGCGTACATAGGACTTCAGTTCTAGCTGTCATACGGTTTACGAAGTATCGCACACGTCTGCAACACTCTGAAGGTAGTAAACAAAACCAAGCAACACTTGCTGCTTGTTTGCGCTGTTGGCATGTCAGGATCATGGTCTGTGTATCTGGAGAAGCTGAGCAGGAGGCTCAGGTGAAACCCTCTGGGAAGTCAGAATGATTTATAAGGCTTTTCCATCTCCTGCCCAGACATTATTAGTCTTCTAACAGCAGCAGTATTACGTTGGGCAGCTCACACATTTCTAATTTTACCTAGTCCAGCTGCTTGTTCACAAACTCCCTCAGGCCCTAAGGAAATAATAAAAAGAAAGATGAGACTAAATGGGCTCAGCTGAATATCCAGCACAGGAGGAAGCCCAGCGTTTTCCCCTGCTCCCAGATGTACGTCTCAGAGGGCCAGCCAAACCACACACTCTGATGCCTTCCAGTACATCCATCTGCTGCATGGCAGGTCTTGGCAGATTGTTTTCCCCCATTTCCTTTTCTAGAATAGAAGGGAAAAGCTATAACCTACAGCTTTTTCTAAGTGCTCAGGTAAATCCTTCCTCTGCTTAACCGAACAGGCATTTTGGAGCCTCTGATAATGCCCTATCCATGCTAAATCCTGAAATTAAGGCTGGGCAGCCATTTGCAGAAGAACCGATGCTACACTGGCATTTTTAAGCAGTTTGCCCTAGACTGGTTCTGGCTCTGCATATGGAAGGAACTTTTTCCACTGCTGAGACAGAAAATTCAATTTAAAAATTACAATATCTCCATAAACCAGGCCTGAGCACAGCCAGAAATAAATATGAATATAAATATTGGGGGAATCCTGGTTTCTTGGAAGTCAAGGGAAATTGGTCATTAACTTCATGTTAGCCATGATCCCACTACTATGACTCAGCTGATAAGTTTATTTCCAGCTGATATTTTCAGATGTTTTATGAAGGAGACTATTTGAGGAGGGAGGGAAAGGGAGTGACAATTTTACATGCAAAATCTGCATCTGCATTCTTTTTTGGTTTGCTGTTGACAGGGGCATCAAAAGTCAGAGTGAGAATAATGGCTACTAGTATTTCCATCATTATTATTTTTGTCAACACAAGTACATATAGGTAACAACTTTCGGACCTTCATTAGCATAAAAATTGGTGTAACCTCCTCTATTTTGTAGTCATGGTTTCACATCTGGGAATTTCAACACATGTAGCTAACCTGGGAAACATTTCTTCAAAAAAGACAAATAAAAGTAGGACAAGAGAACAGCAGGTGGAAGTTTGTCTGATGTTTTATGTCGTAAGAAAACATTTCCTCAGATTTGAACAAATATAGCCACACTTAAAGAAAAAAAAAGAAAAAAACATCTCCTGCTAGCTATTTCCAGTAACTATAAAAGCCAGTAGCTTGATTCAGCTGCCTTTACTCAGTAAGGCGTTAAACCGGAGGGAGTAAAAAAATAAAAGGAGACATTAATTCAAATGTTCGTTCGTAATTTAACTGCCTGTGAAATGTTCCCTTTACCAAATGGAAATGAGGTCGCTTGGCCCACAAGCCATCCTTTTACAGTCTTGCAGGGTTCACTTCAGAAGCCTTGACAAAAAAATATAGAAAATACAATTTTCAAGTGTAGATGGAAATCCCCAATGTACTTGATCTGACAGCTATTGCATTACAAAACAGAATTACTATTTTAAAGCCTTGGGCACTGGCAGGCCTCTGATGTCGGCTATATAAAACCACACTGACAGACAGTCATTACCAAGGTTAATCTCTGAGAATTAGGACAAGGCAGTCAGTTTTAATATGTCAGAATCAGCTAGGAGCCCATCTGTATCTACTATGGTCCTTACTTTCTTAAATCCAGTTATATAAAAAGATTTTTAGTCGGAAGTTGTAAGTGGCTTTTCAATGAAGACACAATAAAGTAGCAATTGTCCCTTATTATTAATTAAAGGTAGGCCCTCAAGGCATATCTGCACTAAAGAACTTGTGAAAATAAGCATCCCTTAACTGATACCCAGCAGCTCTGACACACCATAGGTGCAATTATTTTTCTCACATGTGGAGCTACTCCTTTTCCTATGGATATTTTTGTTGATTTCAGTAGGAATGAGCAAAGGGCTTTGAGCCTTTTGCTGTGGATGGGTGCAATTCTGAGCAGCAAGACACTGGTGTAAATAATAGGAGACCTTGTTTCAGACTACTGTGAGAAATGTTGAACGTAACAATCTTGTGAGCAGAAATGAAAATAAACAGACATTTTCATCAAAATCAGATCAAGGGGAAACTTTTCGAGATACAAATTTAACAGTTAAAGCAGATCAACAAACCAAACATCACCAAATAATTTGAAACAGTCAGGAAACAGGAGGAAAGAAGCCTTTGCAAAGGACAGGAGGTTTTTGCAGGAGACATAACTGGCCTGGCTCAGCCTTCCCTGAAACTGTACTGAGGGTTTCCTATGGTGTCCTCTGGTGAGATACGCCTATGACTATACGGTTAACATTTATACTTGCATCTATTACAACGGGTTTGTGCAAGTCATGCCATGCGCACATGGTGGGGAGGGTGGTGTGTAAATATCTACAGCGTGAATGAACACATTCAGCCAGTTATGTAAATAGCAGGATGGGTTCTTATGCATGTGCGGGCACTACCAGACATGGTGCTGGGAGGTGCAGAGACTCCGTATCTCCCTGTGTCTTGCAAAATTTCCCCTGGGGCTTTCAGCATTATGCTCAGGGATAGCATCTCCATGTCAAGGGCTGGTTCTGTCCCTGCCAAGCCAGGACACAGCAGAGCAGATGGATTACTAATTGGTAACAGATAAGGTTACTACTGGGTAACCAGTTTGAACGGTGCCATGCATACACCTTTCAAAATAAAAATGCATCTGTAAGATAGCAAGGTGAAGCAATAACTAAAGGACAACAATTACTGAAATGATAGGACAGTTACATAAACGCTGGAGCAATGAGTGGTAGTATTTGGGCAGTTTGTACTTACTGGCATCATCCATAAATTCAAATTCACCCCCTAATTCAGCACTGGTTAGGTGGTACTGGTCAGGATCAGTCAGGGCGCTCAGCAGAATCAGCAATACCACTGAATTGATAATCTATAGAGAGGATAAAAGGGAAAGGGTCAGACTGTGAAAGTAATCTGTGAAAAAGCTCTAGGTAGGACATACCTGCCACACTCCATGCCAATTGTGGAGTTTTCCAACTGTAAAACCATAGTATTTAACCAATACTGCAATTAGTTTCTCTGGATTTGTGTAAATGGGACCTATTTCTTCCCCAGGCGGTGGCAGGAAAACGAAACAAAACATGGGTTACCCCTTTTCATTCCAACTCTCTCTCCCACCATCAGCTACGTTACTGCTGCTTTTTCAGATTATAAAACATGTTAGCGCATCCGTCTCAGTTTGTTCTGCTGCAAAACCTAAAATCAGTCAAAAACAATCATTCTGAGGTTATTACAAACGAGCGTTATGGTCAAGGATTATTAGCACGGCAGAGCCGGAATTGGGGACAGGCCCCGTGAAATTGCTGGGTGATGAAAAAGGAGCTGATTTGCTGGAAAAGGATGAATTTTAAACAAGGCCGTGAGTGACGAGCTGATTCACATGACCTGCTAAATCAGGAGGCCTTGGGAGGAGGGGAGTAGGTGGCAACGCGAGCCCAGTGTCCGCTGCGCATGTTCCTGTGTTGTATGGCACAGGGAGGCATTCACATCCGCTGAGACCTTGGCTATGAGATACTCTACTCAAGAGTAGAGTATCGAGTGATTCAGTGGAAGTGGATTGCCAAGTATCAGCTATGAGAGGAACCCAGAGGTAGCCAAGAGCTGTATTTTAAAACAAATCCAAACAAAATGCTCATATGGCTTTGAGGTGAAGAGGTCTAATTGCAGCAAAGAAGATTGCCCAGCATGAAATAATGCAGCCCAGCTAAAAGATTATTCTAGAGAACTAGGAAGATAACTGATGAACAGGAAAACTGAGAGAAGAAAGCTGATAAAAGAGTATGCTGGGAACGAGGATTTTTATTGCTTTGGTTCTCGCTTTGAAGTGAGAGCCTCCTACTAATTTTTAACATTATGTAGAACCTTATATTGCAATCCAGTTCTTGCTTTATACTCTTTTGCAAAAAGCTAGAGGACATGTGCCAGTAATAAGTATGTTACTTAGGAAGAGTACTTAAAATAACCAAGCAATCAGAAACTATAAATGTATATAGCGTTGCTATTTTGAAGGCATACAAGTTTAATCTTTTGTACAGATATAGTCAGAAAGATTCATAAAATACTGACCTAGGCACTCTACTGTCTCCATATGGATATGCCCAGATTCAGATTACTTGTTTGTCAGCATCGCCTTTAAGTCTCCGCTAAGACGCAGATTGCGTTTGCCTGATCTGAAGTTTGCTGTGGTCAGTAGGAATCTCCCTAATGCTCTTTAGTGCATCACTTTTCTGTTCCACCAGGTTGTTCTCTGGAGATCCTCAGTAATGATCTCTGAGCACCTTCCAACTGTGCTGTCAGCAGCGCAAGTGAAATCTATCACGTGTTTATTTGCTCACCCTCTTTCTCTGAAAAGAAATGTGTGCACAGTTGGGTGTATTGTGTTTGTTAGGGGGTTTTCTTTTGTTCTGAAAGTGATGTGACCGTTGGATTTTTAAAAATGCTTTAACACATACATTTAACGTGCCTAAAACTTACTGATGTAGCATCTTCCACGGACACATAATCAAGGACAAGAGGATAAAGTGATTCCCTGTTGATATATGCAGCTGGTCTGAGAACTGAAATCTTTGTTCTAGGAAAAGCAAAGGAGATTTTTCTGCTTTCTCAATAGGGCCAAGATTTTCTTCAAGATGTTTTACATTCCTTCAGCAACAAATAATGTAATGACTAATTAACAATGCTTAGAAAGCATTTGCATTATGCAAAGTTTCAGTAAGCAACTAAGCCCTATACCTTCCCAATGAGACCTGTCCGTCCTCCTTTTATGGGTGGAGAAACAGAAACATGTTCATGAACATGCAGCAGGGTGGTGTTCAGCGGTAAGAATAAAATGCACAATTCTGCACTATCAGGTCAGACCTGTGACCGCCGGGTCCTACTGCTGGTTGCAGCCACAGTGCTAGCCAGAGTTACAGGAGAGGAGCCCCGGGGGTGCTAACAGACCTTACTGGCCCTGCCCAGCCCCACCTTGGGCCACCCCACAGCCCTGCCCATGGCCTAGGATTCCATGGCCTAGGATTCCACTGCAGCTCAGCCTGGGGTCATCAGTCCCGGCCCCAGTGGCACCGCAGGAGTGCCGGTCTCCAGCCATGCTTCGTGGGTGGATGCCTTGCATGTATGTCATAGCTTGTCTCCAGTTGTGTCCCTGGTTTTGTCCCCTTTTGCTCCTGGTTGGGCTCCCTTGATGGTCCCTGGCCCTGCCATGTTGGGGGCTGTTGATGGACACCATTACCAGCCCCCAGTTCTGCACCTGGGCTCAGCACCTCCAGGATGGTGCCCAGCGTGCCCTACCAAGAGATTGGACAAAGATCCCACAGAAAGTCTTAGAAATGCCCAACTGTCCTCTTATCTTCATACAGAAATAAAATAATAATTAAAAAAAAAATCCCCAAATCTTGCTTCTTTGGCAACTGGACGGAATACATCCACCTTCTTGTCAACGTAGAGGAGGAAAATAACTCTGCTTTGTAGAGACCCCAGAACATGTAATGAAAAGGGGAAAGCAGGACATATTATGGAGGAGATAGCTAGTCCAAATATTGGAGCATCACTTAGATTTCATGCTCTGGGCTTACAAAACACAGGTTCAGATTTGAGTGGAAGGTATTTTAAACAGCAACAACCGTGTGAGAGAAGGTACATGCAGGCATGAGGGAGAAAGGCAGCACGTATTGACAGTATCGCAGAAACACAGAATACCAGGTTGAAAGGGACCTCAAGGATCATCTGGTCCAACCTTTCTAGGCAAGAGCACAGTCTAAACAAGATGGCCCAGCACCCTGTCCAGCTGAGTCAACCACTTCCCCGGGGAGATTATTCCAATGGTTGACTGTTCTCATTGTGAAAAATTCCCCTTTCATGTTCAATCAGAATCTTCTCAGGATCAACTTGTACCCATTACCCCTCACCTTCTCCATGTGACTCCTTGTAAAAAGGGAGTCTCCATCTTCTTTCTAGCCACCCTTTAAATACTGGTACATGGTGATGAAATCCCCTCTGAACCTCATTTTCTCAAGGCTGAACAAACCCAGCTCTCTCAGCCTATCCTCATACGGCAGCCTTCCCAGGCCTTTGATCATCTTGGTGGCCCTGCTCTGGACCCCCCTCCAGCTTTTCTACATCTTTTTTTCATAGTGGGTGCCAGAAGTGTACACAGTACTGGTAGGACTGGTACGTGGAGTAGGACTGGCACTGCCAGCCACTGCTACTGCTTCCATCTGTGCTGTGCTAAAGAACCAGCAGCTTATGTACGATGTGAGGCAGCTCTGCTAGAGGGAATGGGCAGCATTTAGGATGCAAGGAAGCAACCTCATGTCTTCCACAGACAGCATCCAGCATTTAGAGACTATATAATGCACTAACATGTCAGACCTCCGCCACCAGTGAGTGCATTGTCATCTTCCCGACATCATTTGTTCCAGAGATCAGCAGTGAACTGTGGTGACCCCCAGAGATAAAACGCAGGGCAGGGAAGGTGTCAGGAACCACTGTACCAACAGGTGATGAGAAAATGAGTACCACTATAATTTCAGACCCTTCGCAGAAGTACAGCTGGTTCATATCTATCCCACCTAACCTAAAATAAAATTAGTTCCAGTAGCTCCTAAGAGTCTGCCATTAACACAGATCTTTTTGCTGATCCCTAACTCAGAGAGAGAAATGCTCAAGTCGGTGACTTACATAGATGTCCATAAATACTAAAAGAATTGTCAGGACTTACAGTGGCTTAATTTGTCCCTGCCTTCCTCCAGCTTACAGTCAAGAGTTGAAATAAAATTGCTCTGATAAAGGAGTTTAGAAGAGGAAATACTAAGCTTACTTTAACTCAACACTTTACATTAAAAACACACCAGTGTTTCTATTGAGGCCCACGTAGTCCCCTCCACAAATATTCTACTACAGTTCTCCCAAGATTTCCTAATGCAGTGAAAAGAGTTCCTTATATTTATAAAAAAAAGTAAGAAACACCCCTGGCTTTATTTATCTTGAAGGTTCCATTCATAACTGAATCCATGCATGTAACGGTCTGGATGCTGTCTATGCAGTGAAAGATGTACTTACATGGTTATTTCTGGGTCTGGTTTCAGCCTCACTGAACTCAAGAGAGATCCACTTAAGCACACCCCTTAAATCTCCGCGTTGGTGGAGCACTAACTCGCCGCCTGTGCTCCCTGTCGGGGGCCCTTTACAGTTGCAGAGAGCTGGTTTAATGACAGTGAACACCCCAGTAATATTTAGGTATAAAACCCCCATACTTTTAGATAAGGGGAGAAAAATAGAAAACTGCAAAGATAAACTTTGTTTTTATGGTACAGGAAACAATGAAAAAATAGATTTAATGAAAACACAGTCATTCTGGGTTAATCCCCCAACTTTCTGTAATCCACGTTAGTGCATTATAATACTGGGATCGATATAGGCGGCCAGTAACCGAAAACATCACTGTGGTTTACTCAATAGTCCCATACCTGACACAGTATGAGCTACCAGATGAAAAAGGAGATGATGTTTCTGAACAAACATGGTTGTGACTGAGCAGCAAATAACAGCAGATTTCTCCGAGGACTTTGAATGGTGAGCCACCTTGGGATGCTGCTGACAAAGGCTCCTAAACCTTGGCCAGGTTTTGAAGAGGCACGCACCATTCTACCATATTTTTAAAAACCCACAAAACCATTGGGGTTTAGTTTTTTGCCCTCTACAGAGATACTATTGAAGCAAATCACCAGTGACATTAATTTTACTAGTAAGAAATCTTAAATGTTTTTAATAAAACTGAAGAAAGTCTCAAGCAAAACCCCATACCCTCCATCCCCCCTCAAAAAACTTAAGGAAAGTTTATGACTCTAAGTGTTCATTCTCTATAGAAACAAACCCCCAATCTTAAACTATTTTGCTCCTTGAAACTAAACTAACAACAGAAGTCTGTAAGTATTTTGGAGTACTTGAATATTTGAGGTCAGTATTACTGTTAGAAAAAGTAAGACTGTATGAAAAATGTACAGTTAAGCTAACTCAACATCCTTAATTCTCCCCATCTACCATTGCCTTCCCACCTGGCATGTTCTTTGCATTTTTCTTGCTTTTTTTTCTTTTAGTGAAGAAAACATTAGTAAAAGCAAGAACACTTTTGTTCATCAAGAGGACAAAAGAAGCCTACAAAAGGGAAGAAAAGTCAAGTTTAACTCAATAGTTCAGGGTAGAGTTGTGCTATCTGGGGGCGCCTTCCCAAACTTCTTTTGTTAGCATTGATGATGAGTTATAGTTTATGATCTATTGCCCCATATAGGCAGATTTTTCTCTCTCTTCTCTCTCTCTCCCTGTTAAGCAAAGTTGGGGTTTTTTTCTGAATTCTGATTAAAGAGCAAAGAATGAGACAATTTTAGCAATAAAGGTTTTATAGCTGACTGCTGTGGAGAGCACGAAAACAAGGCAAGAAAGAACAAGGTGTCCCCCCTCTGTGTCCAAGATTTTTTACAGATCTCATGGCAACAATTCAGTCATCTTCCCCCTCAGGGCACATAGGACCCAGGAGCTACATCTGAGCACACCTCAGTCAGTGGCTTGAACTCCTAGGAAAGGAGGAGCAGGAGAATCCTGGCTGTCAGAGTAGATAACTCTCTTTTTTTTTCTGCTACAGAAGCCTTCTGCCTCATGCTAATGAAAATTATTTCAACTCTCCAATGCTGGGGGACAAGCTGCAGATGTATTAGTGATAGACAAAATAACGAATGGTCAAAGGAAGGAAACCCAGACACACAGTTATCTTTTCCACCCAATGAAATATAATAGTCTGAAGGGAAACAGAAGGATGGCCATGTAGAGCTGGGTTAAAGAAAATCCTTCACCCTTTTCACCAGTGAAAGTCATTATCAGGTATTATTACTGAAGCCAAAAGGTTGGAGGAATACAGAAAAGGATGAGCTGTTTATTCAGGAAATGCAAGTGCTTTGTTGTATTACAAAGCATCTTAAAACCAAATTACAAGCTTTCGTGCTTCAGGTTATTGCCCACCTTAAAGTAACAGTAGAATAAAAGAAAACGTCTTCCCTGCACAAGCTGCTCTTTGTTACTTCCCTGTGTGGTTTCTCAAAGCGCATCTTTCCAGCTGCCATCTGAAATACTGCGCTGGAAGAGGGAGAGCATTAGTCAGGCCAGAAATAGCAATTAAGTTTTTATGTTCTTTAACCTAGAGAAGACAGGGTAGAGTCTGCAATCCTTGTTGCTTATTTTTCCAAATTACTCATGAGAAGTCAAAGAATGATCCAGGCAGGCTCAGACTAGCATATTACAGACTGTGTATTATAGAGAACATGTAATAGAAAGCTGCATAAAATATTTTAATCAGACTTTTATATAGAGAATGATAGAATCATAGGATCATTACGGTTGGAAAAGACCTTCAAAGACCTTCAAAAGATCATCAAGTCCAACCATCAACCCAACACCACCATACCTACTAAACCATGTCGCGAAACTCAAACTTGAAAACCCAAACTTGAAACCCGAAACTCAAATATAAACTTAACTTTGATTATTATAATGACACTAAGCATTGAACTTTAAAGACTATGCTGATTAAATTGATGTAGGAAGTCCAGCATAATTTATCAGCACTCTTCTATACAAATGACTCAACTACTGCCTACTGCCAGCCTTTTAATGGTCCTAAAACCGAAACCACAAGAGGTCTGTTTCTAATGAAATATGGTAATGACTGAATTTATAAAAGAAAAATTAGATGGACAAACCATGCAGGATGCACACTGGAGGTTTCTGCTTCCCTAGAGATAGAGTTTAATTTATTATGTACTTAATCTTAGTCCTGTCATGGTTTAAGGAAATAGGATATTGGCATGCAAATTTGTCGGTGGATTCTTTGTTACTTTTACATTGTATTTAAAGGAAGCTGAACCTGTTTCTGAGCAAGGTCCTGAAAATGATTGCCAACGTCTTCTGCCCAGCCTTGGGGAAATATAATCATATATCCACGTTCAAGTTATAATGTCGCCAGACTGACTCATAATTTCTACTAAAGCATATCTCGGTTCAGGATGCTGTGGAGAGCTAGCAAAGAATTGGTATGCATTA